CTAGAATCCTTGCTGCATTGGGTAAATAAATAGAGCGGCACAAACAAACAATACGTGCTGTTGTTTGATTATTACATTGATTCGAAAACAACAAGATCTACATAGCAAGGTCAATATTTTTGGTAGCTCTGTAGCTGCTAGTGGGATTTTACACCTTTCTTCAGAATGAGGGTAGCTGTTTCTCTTGTTTGCAGTCTTTCTGCTGACCTAAACTAAGCCTTCTGTCTTCACATTTAATAGACAGACAATGTTCTGTTTTGTAATCATTATAAATAAGAAGTTGATTATTACACATCTGTAAAGCTGACTGTGTGACAACCTGATGAACAATCCAATATTCACTCTTCTTCTAACTCCGTTTTGCTCTTGAACAACTCTTTGTTGAAATCACTGGCTATTCAAACTTGTTTTTTTCTGCCTGCATATTTGCCAGATGAGATTGGCGAGAAGGAACCAAGACAGTAATGATTGGAAATAGAAAAACCAAAACAATCAGATACTGTTGATAGCTCCGCTCCATTGAGCTGCTGGGAACAGTCAAGTGTTAATTATCTGCAGGTTTTTCATGACAAATGTAATGTTTCGCCACTTTAATAATTAAATGTTTCAACTTAGAGGGCTTGGATTCTTCCATCCATTCCGGTGATGCGACACTGTACATTCTTGCTGGAGGTTACAGTCCGTGTGATTTTCTCAGTTTATCTTCAAAAAGACAGAATGTGTCATTGTTGTGTCATGCATCCGGGAGAAAACCAGTCAATGATGCAGAGAAACTGGACTGCATTGGTGCCACATCTCTGACAGACACACAAAGGGCTGCCACGGTGCACCTGTGTCACAACAAACCGCTCCTGCATGACCCTCATTCTTTCTTCTTTTTTTCCTCTTCCTCGCTAATCTGCCCTTCTTACGCCTCTGTCCTTTTTTACCTCAAGAGTTGGGTAGAGAGACAACGCGTATGGGTTATTGTGACCTGTATAGGCAGCGCCACGCATTAGCATCATAGTCAAGGGGCACATTTCATCGCCTAGACATTCTCATTGCACATTTCTTGTATTTCCCCCATCACATGACCTTGCTTTCACAGATCCCCAGCAGTACAGTGGGACGACAGTGTCCCCTATGGGCAGAGTTGAGACCCACACTCTACCCCATCAGGCGCGGGTGGTCTAGTTGGGGCGGCGCTGTGCAGGGGAAAAGATATAAACTAAGCCTGCTGTCTTCACATTTAATGAACAGAAAATGTTCCAACTACTACGCCCTCTTTGGTAGAGGCGGAGGAGGGATCATCGTCAATTGGCCTGGTGGACGTCACTGAGGTAGTCAAACAACTCCGCAGTGGCAAAGCCCTGGGGATTGATGAGATCCGTCCAGAGATGCTAAAAGAAATGGGTGTTGGGGGGTTGTCTTGGATGACACGCCTCTTCAACATTGCGTGGAAGTCTGGGACAGTGCCAAAAGAGTGGCAGACCGGGGTGGTGGTACCCCTCTTCAAAAGGGGGACCAGAGAGTGTGTGCCAATTACAGGGGTATCACACTACTCAGCCTCCCGGGTAAAGTCTACTCTAAGGTGCTGGAAAGGTGGGTTCGGCCGATAGTCGAACCAAGGATTGAAGAGGAACAATGCGGTTTTCGTCCTGGACATGGAACATCGGACCAGCTCTTCACTCTTTCCAGGATCATGGAGGGGGCTTGGGAGTATGCTCATCCAGTCTACATGTGTTTTGTGGACTTGGAGAAGGCGTATGACCGGGTCCCCCGACAGAAACTGTGGGTGGTGCTGCGGGAACACGGGGTAAGGGGGGTCCTTGCTTGGGGCCATCCAATCCTTGTAGGCCCAAAGCGAGAGCTGTGTTCGGGTGCTCGGTAGAAAGTCGAAGGCGTTTCCAGTGGGGGTTGGCCTTCCCCAGGCTGCGCCTTGTCACCAATCTTGTTTGTGGTATTCATGGACAGGATATCGAGGCGTAGTCGGGGGGAGGAGGGTCTACAGTTCGGGGGGCTGCGGATCTCATCGCTGCTTTTTGCAGATGATGTGGTCCTGATTGCATCTTCCGTCTGTGACCTCCAACTCTCACTGGAGCGTTTCGCAGTCGAGTGTGAAGCGGTCGGGATGAGGATTAGCACCTCTAAATCTGAGGCCATGGTTCTCAGCAGGAAACCGATGGATGGCCTACTCCAGGTAGGGAATGTGTCCTTACCCCAAGTGAAGGAGTTCAAGGACCTCTGGGTCTTGTTCACGAGTGAGGGGAAGATGGAGTGTGAGTTTGGCTGGAGAATCGGAGCAGCGGGGGCGGTATTGCACTCGCTGTACCGCACCGTTGTGACGAAAAGAGAGCTGAGCCGGGAGGCAAAGCTCTCGATCTACTGGTCAATCTTCGTTCCTACCCTGACCTATGGTCGTGAAGGATGGGTCATGACCGAAAGAACTAGAACACGGGTACAGGCGGCCGAAATGGGTTTCCTCGGGAGAGTGGCTGGCGTCTCCCTTAGGGATAGGGTGAGAAGCTCAGCCATTCGCGAGGAGCTCGGAGTGGAGCCGCTGCTCCTTTGCAGGACGTTCACAATCTCTGTTCTCCGTGCAGACCGATTAATACAGTCAGTCAGATGACAAGCAAATAGACATTGTGGAGTTCAAAAGAACCAGAAAGAGAATTGGCAATCGTTCACTTTTCATACTGTAATTACAAAGTCATTGCTCTTTGACAAGTAAGGGACATGAAATCACAATTCAGGGATTGAAATTGTCATTTGTAACAGTAATTGACACTAATAAGACAATTTTTCCGTCTTTCCCCTCGGATAATATGCTAATCAAAATGTGAAGTATTAAAGATGACACTAACCGGCGTGATAAGCAGATAATGAAAGACAGGAGGCAAGTGTGAAAGTGATTGACAACTCCCACTAATAAGTTCCTGTTCATTAGAGCATACAAACTGTACCCTCTTTCTGTCTTGTCTGTCAAAGGGAGCGTTTTGACTGCATCCTCAAAGAAAAAGCATTTATATTTTAAGAACCACGAAGCCAGTTATTAGCCTCTTTATCAATGGATCAGAAATGAACTATTACAGGCTGGTGTCAGCCTCTACTTGACTCTTTATTTAAAAATAGATGGCACTTTCTATAACGGTTACATTTGTTTTTCTGACATTTTCTTGTGTCTGGGAGGATGTTTTCACTGCCTCTCACAATGTTGGTGGGCGGACTCACAAATATGACATACTTGATCTCTCCCACCCTCTTTCTCCCTTTTGCCGTTCCACCAGTGGACGTCTCCGACCCCGTCGACCCTCATCCGCCCTGAAACAAGCAGAAAAATAGATCCATGAAATGAGCTAAATACTAAACTCTCCTTGCGACGTGTCTCACTTCAAAAGAGAAGTGTGACTAAAAAACAAAACAAAAAGAAAGTTGCAAAACGGGCAAAACTCGGGCTATAATGAGAAATGTGCGACTACAGTTCGCTGCTGATGGCCGTATTAATCTTACTGCAATAAACTCTGGTCAGCCATTCACAGGAAGGCACCGAGCTTGGTTTAGGCTCCAAATTACACCCTGGGGGCAATTTGCCCTTTAAAAAGCCGATGGCAAACTGCTGCAAAGAAGGAAGGAATGAGCACCTGTGTTGCAAATAGGCAGCAGACGGGCTGCGGGTAGCGCTCGAGGCAACTTGTCCTGTAGCCGTTGCAGGTAGGAGCAGGTGAGATCAGGGGTGCTACGTTTTGGCATTAGGAGTCTGGCAATCTGGCGTCCACGAGGTAAATAACTCAACTGCAGTTCTGGGAGAAATTTGACATACTTTCTAACAGTCGTATCCCCGCTTGTGTCTATTATGCAGTTTAATGCTGCTCAAAGTCACTTCAGTCGCTTTAACTCCGTCTGATCATTATCAGCGTGCAGGGCAGCAGTTACCAGGTCACAAAGTTAAATACATTTTTTTATGACACATTCGCTGCTCCATAGATCCGGTTTATGTAATCTACACGGTGTTGAATTTGAGAGATGTAATCTGCATTTTGAGAGGTGCAAACTGGAAAACTAAAAAAACTGGGCAAACATGTTTTGAGGAATTTGAAGGGCAAAAAAATACGACCTTCACGTTTCCTTTGTTTACTAGTGAAGCTGTGCAGTGTGCAAAGGCGGATTTGAATGGAAACATGATTTTATCTTTTGGACAGTTGAACAGTCGTGGCATTGACTTAGCTCTTTAACACATGTCCTGTTTTTTTGGGATGTTCTCTTTTTAAGGCAGCACAAACTTGTCACAAAAATGTGACACAGGGAAATGCACACACATACATATCACCTTCCATTTTACACACACTTCATGTAGTGTTATTGTGACCAGGTGAGGACCGCCATAGCGCTCTCAGTAAAAACTAAACTGAACTTCAAAAATAATCATTCCTCAAACAGACGCTATGTGTGAACTCAACAGTGAAGTTGACTTGCTAACTGAAAGAAATCCTTGTGGTAGATAACTAATTAGAGACACTTTTAAACCGGTAACCCCCGACAGATGCATTTCACATCTGCGCCCTTGTCAAGTACACAGACGTCACTGTCTTCCAACAACTGCTTTTGTAGTGAAAGAATTCTCCCCGGGCATTTTACAGAAGGTTGTCAGCACATAATTTATCATGACGAAATAAGTAAAACAAATGTGGTGCAGGGGAAATTTTCTCTCTGACGGTTAAACACTATTTTAAGCAACTCAAAAAAATACTTAAAGCAACAGAACGTTTTCCTTTGTCATCCAGTGTGTGTCTGGATCCATGCCTTTGTTGGTGCACCCTCACGGGTCCTTTGAGGATTGCGTCTCTACTTGAGTTTGTGAGGTAGGAGGGAACAGTGCCAGGAAGATATAAAAGTTGTGTGAGGTGTGTGTGTGTGTGTGTGTGTGTGTGTGTGTGTGTGTGTGTGTGTGTGCGTAGGTGTGCATTATGCAAATACCTGCTTGCTATGACCCAGGCCAGGTAGCCAATTGGTGCAGAATAAGGAAGTTGGGAGTATAAAAAAAACACTGCGGGGCAGCACCTAGTTTGTCTGCAACCTTTCATCTGGTAATGAAAGAACTGGAAAGCAAAAGACTCACTTCGTCCCACTGTGAACACTAGTCCTTTAGATTACTGGAACTCCAGAAATAAGCATTGATTTCAAGTCAGCCGTTGTGAAAGTGGAGCTTTATCAGGCCGGATCAGACCCCTTCTATTCCTCTGGTAAGTTGCCATATTGGCGCCGGGCAACTAGCAGCGATTTTCACAATAAGTCAAACTAAATTCTTCAAATATATCTGTTGAATCCTCAAATATTGTTTGGATTAGTTTCTTTTATCCCCGTGGGTTTAAACTTCTTATCTCACTTGTGTCTTATGTTGTAGCGAGATGGTGAGTGGTTTATTAACTCTGGTATCGTCTCACTTAAATATTTATCCAGCATGTAACAAATACAGTATACGTTTGGTGTAATGAAATGTAAAACAATGCATTAACCTCAATAAATTCTCCTGAAATCTAAATATTTAGTGCAATTTTACAGGGTCAACCCTTCTTCTCTTCTCTTCTGCTCCGGCTAATGTTGTTGCAGAAAGACTGCATTTGTCATTCGATATTGGCATCAACCTCAGTTTTCATTTAAGTTTTAGTTGACAGGTAAAATAAAAATAAATGAAGAGATTCAATTATAAATGGACATGCAGTTGCGTCCAATGCTGTGATAAGGCAACAATAACCAAAATGAAACCTACAGTCATGTTGATAAGCTCTGTTTATCTCCTGACGTCAATCCCATTATACATGCACTGGAGGGATTTTTCACCACGGCTCAGCTAAAGGGTTACTGATCCATAACCTTAACTGTGTGTTTGTCTCTTTTCTAAACAAATTCTACGTTACATACTTGCTGCCTGGTTGATACGATACCTGCATGTCAGTGTAGACGGGGTTGATGCACAGCAGCAAGTGTTTTGTTTAGCAGGTTTTCCACGAGGAGCTGGTCTGCCGTTGGATGTTAGCATGTGTCACATACTTCCTTGGAAAATCTTATTCTCTCTCAGGGCTGTTGACATTTGGTAGTTGTAAGAATGAAAGCGCGAAACTTTAAGTCGCTTGCCTCTATGTCTCATTTGTTAGGCTGGCAGAGTAGTATCTAGAATTAAAATGTGTAATGGGGCTTGGCGTAATTTTATTTATAACGTGGTGATAAAGATATGGCAACCTTCTTCCAGAGAACAGGTGTGGGTCGCTAGGAAGTAATTACACATTTTGTATTGCCAAATGAAATGGGTGTTAACCAGTGACAGATGTATGACTAGAGCTCAATAACATTTACACCAAAAGAAAGGTTATTGCTCTTATTCTGATCTAATAGAATTCTCGTCCAGTTTAAAAGACGTAAAGTTGACTTATCAAAACTCAAAATGTTTGTTCAGAAGTTGGAAAAGTTTATTGTCTAAGCATAAAAAGGATGATTGAATGTAAACGGTGTGTCAGTTATGACTCGGCTTTTGTGCTGGTGAATCACTTCTCTAATGTTTCGAATTCCTTTCTACAGTAAATCTCTCCCGTGCGGCCTCAGCCCTCTGGGCCATGGTATATCTGAGTGTCGCGGCTACAACATGAGCATATCTCCATTCACCACCCTGGAGAGCCCACTGACGTCTTCCTGGAGCCCCACCAACTCCTACCCTGATGGTGAGGCCGCTGAGCGCCACTCACACGCTCTTCCTTAGGCCTCTTCTAAGCCTCAACGGCATAAAATCTTCAATTCAATCAATTATTAACAAGGAATTCAGCTCATCAAAGTTAAATTCGCTGATGCTCGTGAGGTGCTTTTCTTCAATTGCTTTCAAACGTAACCCCTGACGTCCGTCTCCAGTTGCCACGTGGATGTCCGGCTACTCGAACCGCCTGTGGCCTCGCGACCCCCAGCCCCAGCTCTGGAGCAAGTTCCAGGTGTGGGAGTGGCTGCAGCAGGTCATGGACATCAACCAGATCGATGCCTCCAGCGTCCCCTTCCAGAACTTCGACATGGACGGCCATCAGCTGTGCGGCCTGAGCTACCAGGACTTCATTCACGCTGCGGACAGCGCGGGACCCGTCCTCTTCCACAGCATCACGGAGCTCAAGTGGAGCGGTGCGTCCCAGAGAGTCTGATGGGGGGGGAGGACAATTAGTTGCAGTAAGAGAGGAGCCGGGTGACTCGAGTTGAGTCTTGCTGAAGGAGCCAGTCAGGGGTCGCTCTGAGAGTGATTAAAGCGAGGCAGATGATGGATTTGTTGTTGGCGCTGGTTGGAGTAGGTCTCCTAACAAAAGCGCACAGGGGGGTTTGAAGCTGGAGACACAAGCTGTTTTTTTTAATTAGAGTTTGAGGCGTTCACGGGCCCGAAGCTTCCCCCCTTTTGTGTTTTTAACTGGAGCTACTTTGTGAGAAATGTGGCCGAGAGGGAATTAAAACAATAATAACATTCAAGGTTAATAATATGTTGTGAGTGACGGCAGTGGATTGTAATTGACCTGATGTCTACTGTTAATGGCATTTTGAAACACAAAAGGCAGAAGACCAGGCAAAACAGGTTTAAACTCCAGGTCGTGGTGACATTTGAGGTGAACAAAACTGGAGCACAATGCTGCTGTTGTTGTTGCTGCGAGCCGAGAGACAAAAGTTCAGCTCAGTTTCCTGGTGCGTGATGCTACATTTTATACATGAAACGTTTCAGTAGTAATGAACATGGAGACTGGATGGAGAGATCCTCCTTGTTAAAAAGAAAACATACAGTCCACTCTGCTCACATGAAGGACAGGTGTTTGACGTGCGCTTTCGAGTACATTTTGCCGCTTGTTTGCCTTGAAAATACAGAACCGTGAGGTTTTAGGTATCTGCGTTTATATATATATATATATTTATATAAATCATAAAGCAACACAATATTTGTTTGTGCTAAATCTGCAGAATATTTCCTGACTACTTGACAGTGTCACATTATAGTGGCCTAAAGACGTTATTGTAGAGCTAAATAATCGCTAATGACTTGATTTGACCTGATAAATATCTTACTTACTTCTTTCCCATCTCTGCAGGCCAGTGCCACGTGGAATTAGGGCACCTGGAGCTCAAACCAGAACGTAAGAGTTAATTAAACAACTTGTTTTTCCAGACGATAAAGACTAAGGTGTTGGCACAGACAGGCGTGTCAAGACTTCACCCGTTTACTTAGATGTGATCTCTTCATTATCCCTTTCCCATTGTCTTTGTGCCCTTTACAGTAGACTTCTCCTGTTCGTTTTCTGAGGTCAGCTATCCACCTGCAGGTAATGTAAAAATATCAGCCGGCTGCCTTGTTTTGTCTCGTGCTTCTTTTAGAGTGAATTACGTAACAAATGAACGAAATCCATTTTTTCTCTTTTAGACTTGTACAGTCCCTCCCTTCCCCCCATTGCCCCCATCGCATCCCTCACCCCTTCCAGCCCCGGTGAGGAATGCACAAGTTATACAATACAACAAGGTATTCAATGGAACCCCAAAAATACGTTTTACAAATGAAAAAAACTGAATAAACAAAATAGATTGAAGATTCAACAGTATTTTTTATTCTTTTTCTCAGATATTAAACGGTCTTTAAGTCGTCAGGTCAAAAAACACAGTGAGTTATTCAAACACATGTTTTGTATTTGTACATGTTATATTATTTCCCATTGAACCTGCTTCCTTTGCCAACAGACCCGAGGGGGATCCACTTGTGGGAGTTCATCAGGGACATTCTGCTGAACCCGGAATGGAACTCGGGCCTCATCAAATGGGAGGATCGGGCGGAGGGGGTTTTCCGCTTCCTTAAGTCCGATGCGGTGGCACAGTTATGGGGCAAGAAGAAGAATAACATCAGCATGACCTATGAGAAACTAAGCCGGGCAATGAGGTAAACGTGCAGCTGTTGCACAAGTAGTAGTACAAATAAAAATAAAAAACAGAGCGTGAGTGTTGGAATTGGGATTAAATTCGAACCCATGCAATAAAATCAACATCCTTTATGCACACAAGGGCTTTATTTATACCAATAGTTTGAGAAATCTCACTTCACTGCATTGTTCCTAATTAAATGGACATACGCAGCTTATAATGCACTTGCTGTATTAAGAGGATAACTAACGGAGCTCGACCATTTTAAAACACATTTCCGTTTGTCGATTACTTACCGTAGAATAGACACATTTTGGATTTGCTTCATGTTTTCACCCTCCTCCTAAATTAACTGAAATGAGCTTCTCAGAAAATCTGCTAAATCACAGCTTTACATTCAAATGAGCTAATCTAATGATCTTAATTTCAATGTGGTGCAAACCAACGGGAACCTCAAAATGTGCCCACAGGTATCGTCACTGTGACCACAAAGCTGATTTTCTATTTACGGTCGTGCAGAAGATTTTGCAAGCATGATGCAATCACCAAAGCGATTGTTCTCTGATAACAAAAGTTGTAAAGGAACAACAACCAATCTAACTTTGTTTACTTTCTTTTGATATCACGTGATTGAATGCAAAGGAAATTTTTATGTTTGTGAGGAAATGTATTATGCGTAGAAGAGAAAAAGTCAAATAACACAATTACATATAACTCATTTCATGACGACCTTGAATCAAAAAGAATTAAGCCAAATCTTACTCTGTTTTTATACGTTCATTTGATACTTGATTGAGTAGACATAATAAGGTTACAATTCTGTGACCCATTTGTGTTTTTTGCATTGAACAACAATGGAAAAATATACATTGTTGGTTTCAGTTTTTTTTATTAGATCTGTTGATCAATTGAAAGCTGCGGAATGGCACCAGATTCACACTGGATTTTTGTATAACATTTGCAAAACACACATACTATATGATCTGCAATGAATTCCTTGTGAATTTGTCTGTTCACCTCTTTCAGATATTACTACAAAAGAGAGATCCTGGAGCGAGTGGACGGACGCAGACTTGTTTACAAGTTTGGAAGGAATGCAAGAGGATGGAGGGAGTCAGACATGTGAACATTTTGTTCATTTTTAGCTTTCTTTGATGTTTGATGCAATTATGATGTTATATTGTAGTTTTCACTGATTGTCTTTGATTAAAAAAAAAACATGTTTAAACAGTTTATACTATGTGGATAATGATACGTTTGCTTTGCTTTGGTATGATTATTTAATTTCATCCCTATTTGGTGATACTGATGTGTTCTTTATTGTGCTTTTTTACAATAGCTTCTTATTGTAGCTGCGTGGCAGCAGTCAAACCTCACAAATGTTTGTTTACATAATATAAAACATTGAGGGGTCTATTTGTCAACTTTTTTTTCAAGTCCCAAACGAGCATGTGTTCATAGCGTTTAAAACACATGTGCCATCCGGATGTATGTTTTGGCTACTAGTACTGTAAAGTGTCCTTAAGGGAGGGATGTGGAAAAACCACAACTTACCAAATAAGAAACCAACTTTCCATAATCGGAATGAAGTAGACAATGCGTAAAAATTTACATCTCACAATGATTGGTCTTATTTGGTTGGTTTTTACATTTTACATCCATTGAGCTCTATAGAAAATACATACATATTTATTATTGATTGATAAAAAATAAAGCTCATCGTTGTTTTTATTTAACAAAGTCGTGCACTTTGGGAGTCATTGTTTACACCAAGAAGAGGACAATTCTTTTGACTTTTAATTTCAAAGAAATGTTGCAAACCAATCATCAATCAGCAGTTTGATTTCAACACTTATCACCTATATTGCAGCTATTCTTGCCTGTCACACCATTGTTACAGTGTGAGACACGGCTCCGTTAACCGGTGGCCAGCGCCGTGCTGCAGGGAGACGGATAACATAACTGGGCTTCGATGGCTAGCGAGATAAAAGTAGTAGAAATTTAAAACTCCATTCTTTGGCCTGAATTCACAAGCAAATTTGGTCTAATCTCCACTAATGTGTCAGGCTTCTGTAATCCTCCTTTACATAGTAAGGCACTGATTGACATAAAGTTATTTTATTATCTTTCCTGACAGCTTCAAAATCCCTCCTCCCCTCTTTCAGTCTGTTTGCGCTGCTCTGAAACACAACATGGATGTCGCTAACCGACATTTGCATACTTCTGCCATATGTCACTATTAAGAAGTAATCTTCTAGTTTCAGGCCTGATCGAATTGCTGAATGATTGACATCTGGAAACCTACTCTGATTAGAGGACCTTGCTATAATTATTTTTTCCATTGCCTTCTGGATGAAATAAAGAAAATTGCGGGAGGAACAATGATATATTCAGCGACTGCTGCTGATTGGATTGATATAATGGCTTTTGATTGCCATATAGTTGTCTGACCGTATATGCAGCATGCTGGTAACGCCATTCAAACTGAAGTGCATATTCATTATATGCCATTGTTCAGATTCCATGTTGTTTCATAAAATCCCACTTGGTGGTTCCATTTGAGCAGAACTTGTCAAGACCCATATTATACATTTTTAACTGAGTTGGACACATTGCAAAAATCCATGATATGCTGACATCTGATTCAAATGACATATTAGCTGACGTATTTATGTGCTTTGATAGCATTTATGTGGAGTTTAGTGCTTGACTCACTGTGGCCTCTCACTCCAATGGTTCTTCAGAATCAACTGTAGGTGGGAGACGGATGGGTTTAGGAAAGCACCGTTGAACCCGTGTAACTCGTATATACAACACATGATTGTTGATCATTCATAACAGACACTGATGTTATTTAGGGAAACATGCACCCAAACCGGTTGTAATAGATCTTGGACAGAGCGAAAACACACGCAGCTGTGAAGAGATACTCAATCCAAGTGACTAACTGTATCAATGTTCGTTTGTTGCACATTGCACAACTATTATGATAAGGACAGTGCAGACAACTGTCTAAAGGTAATATTCTAGCAATATATGTTACACTGGGCTGCAGAGGTTAAATCGTTGCCTTTTTTTGCCAAAAAATAATATGAGATATTAGCCCACAACTGTCTTCATTTGTTTTTGCCAGGGGCTTATTTTCAGATTTGAATGAGCCACACAAAGCCTATTTTGTTATTTAAATGGCGTGCTAATTCAGTCAGAAAGATGCTGGAGGAGGAACATGAAAGTGAAAAAAAGATAGGTGGAACGTGAGCATAAAGACAGCTGGCTGGGATTTTGTATCAGTGTCTCATGCCTGCTCAGTTGGGCGATTGCGTTTCCTCAGTTTCATTTTTTCTTCTGCAAAGGTTATCTGCCATATTACTTGTGTGCGTATGTGGGTGTGTCCCTTTAATGCCAAGTTCCTGGAAAGTGCTATTTGGAGACACATGTCTGCGTCTGCCTCACTTGATCACGGCCGTCAGAGCTAAGTTTTAACATCTTAACACTCAAGTGGACCTTTTAGGATTTCAGATCAATCTGAGAACTGAGTCACTTATTCAGCTCTAATTCTTTTAGGGGGAAATATGTTAATCACCCACAGAAATAACAATTTGACAGTCTGTGGGGCTGAAGAGGTTAAAAAGTAAACAAAGGTTGAAATCAAAATACAAATTTTAAATTCATATGACACAAAAACTAGTAATGAAGTCACTCTGCTCACATCGACAATTGATAATTGCGTGAAGAGGTGTATTTACATATTCATTAATGAGACAGAAACATGAGGAAGTATTGATGAAAAATATGTATTTTTATGAAGCCAATTTCCTTCTCTGAATTAATTTCTTCTTCCCTGTTCACATTAAATCAATTAGTCACGCAAACATTTT